GATCCAGAGTACCAGAACAGAGTTGAAAGTGACTCTGAGCAGCATCTGAGAGGAAACTTCTCACTCAAACTCAAAAATCTTCGGTACAGCGATACGGGAAAGTACCAGTGCTACATCATAGATGACTCAGTAATTCAGGCTGTGGAGCTACGTATCGAAGGTATTTTTATTTAAAGAGGTTCTATTATGTCCTATTATGCCTCTTGATTTAGTTTTTGGGGTGTACTAGAATAGGTTGTCATGCTTGGTTATCCCAAAAGCGCATTATTTTTCACCTATTTTAAATTATTGCAGTTGATTATTGTACATTAGATTATTACACATGTTTAGTTCCTGTTTCAATGAAACCCCTCCTTCTGAAACACGAAATGTGAGTGGTTATCTGGCTCAGTGTGTGAGTAAGGCCTAACTGCAGAATCGCAGAACCATACATCATAGCAGTGCGAGGACAACAGTGGCAGCATAACAGTCTGATGCCGGAAGTGGGCGGAGTAACAGTATCAGATCAGAAGTGGGCGGAGCAAGTGTTGCCTTACTAGGCATTCCGCTACTTCTGTGTTTTGGACCATTTCAAAGTTTAACACCACGTTATTATCAAACCACGTTTTTCCCTCTTAAATAGCAAAAGCATCACACGCTAGCTGTACCAGCTCCAAATAAATACAATTAATTAAAAATACAAAATAACAATAACTAAAGAAATAAATAAAACTAAATCAATCCAAAGAAAATAAATTGAATACAAGTTATGCAGGCACACATTTATATAACATTAAAACTAAAACAAATCAAAACTCCATAAGCATGGAGTTAATCCTGATAATGTTTGCGAACAAGAGGATCATGCAGAGCAAGCACAGAGCACAGATTTTACAGGACGTTTCAGAGTGTTTTTTTTGTTTGTTTTTTACAGTTTATAATATGGTCTCCAGTGCAGTTTAACCAGGCCTTGCCCCCTTTTTTGCTTGTGGGAATTATTTAAATGAGTGATATTATGACTTCACGATATCCAGAGCAAGCACACTGCAGTCCTAACAAGCCGTTTGTTGTAGTTCTTGAGAAGTGTTTTCTGTTAACCATTAGATCTCCTTTTAGAGTTGACTTTGAGCTTTGTAACCTTGCAGGTCTTTTTTATGCTCAAACAGCAATATTACACAGTAACTAAGTTGAAAAAGTGAAAAAAGAACTTTGTCACATATGCCAAGTTCTTAGAAATGTACTCTTTCTATTCAGGTTGGTTTACAAACACTTTTATACCATTATACAAAAATGTCATATGGTCTTCACAGGGGTCTTCAGTTTGAAATGAAGTGGGAACTGCCATTGAGTTTCAGAATTTAAGTTTGTTTGGTTGCATGATGTTTTGTTACTTTAACAATCCCTGTATTGTTCTTTGTAATGCACTTTATGTCTATTAAAAGCAATGGATTAGCATTGTTCTCTGCTGAAAGCAAACTCTAGTCCAGTGGTTTTAAACCCTGGTTCTGGTGACCCACCGCTCTGCACATTGTGTATGTCTCACTTATGCCGAGTTCACACTGCACGGTTTTAGCCTGATTTTTCACTCGCCGACAGGTTTTGCGAAATCGCCGACAAATGCCCGAAATCAGAGGCAAATCGGTGCTCGTTCATGCGAGTGACAATCATGCAGTGTGAATGATCAAAGACGCGATCTGAGGGAATCGCCGACGCCCGCGAAATATTTGGCATGCTAAATATCTGGAGCTGTCGGCGATTCACAATCACGCTGTGTGAAATGAGTTCTGACTGAAAAACACAT